TGGGGGTAGCAGGGTGCCCTGGGGGGTAGTGGGGTGCTCTAGGGGATAGCGGGGTGCTTTCCTTCACACGGGGGAGTCAGGAGCCCGCACACCTGGAAAAAGCTGTGCTGAGACCCGTGTCAGTTCGAGTCAGAAAAGCCCTTTTGCCTGAAAACAGCTCCTGGTACATTTTCCGGGCAAATCAATCCCATCAGCAGGTCCTGCCTGCACAGCCCGAGGAGCTGTGAGAAGCTTCCAGCAGCGGCCTGGCCCCGCCTCGCTATCTGTGTCTGATAAGACGGAAGCACAGCCAGGAAACTGTGCTAACAAGGGCAAAGGTCAGAATGGGAGCCCAAAACCAGCGTGTCACGGCCTCTGCTTCGAGGGGGAGCGGCTGGGTCTTGCACCTTTGACCCCAGTGAGCGAGAGCCTGGCGCTGTCAGGTCTGCAGGTGGCACTTTCCAAAGCGGCCGTGGCCCGAGGGACCCGGGGAGGCTGGGCAGCTCAGGGCCCCCTGCAGACCCAGGGGTCACAGATGAGAGCGAGGCCGGCCGGGCGTGCAGGGCGGAGGCAGCGGCGGAGGCAGCGGGAGGGGAGCGCGAACATAAGAACCCAGCAGACAGGACCTGGGGTGTGCACCAGCCCCTCCCTCTCCTGTCACCGCCCCGTCTGCTGTGATGCGGGGCAGGGACCCTCTGCTGGGCAGATGGGCGGGCAGAGGCCGGTGACGGTGATGACGGGCTGGGCTTTATCCTGGAACCCGAGGGGCTGCCTCTTGAGTTCCCGGGAGAGAGAGGCCGTGTGGGCGGTGCTCTCTCGGGCCTCCTGCCACCTGGGGTCCCCCCTCGCCGTGTCCTCAGGGCCCCTAAAGCCCTCACTGTGGATGAGGACACAGCCCTCTGCCCTCTGACCCGACTCCCAGAATGCACCGAGGCAGGGTTCAAGAACAGGGGCGAGGGGGGTGAGGAGGGACTTGGCGGGTGCCTGGTGGCTGGAAGCAGCGGCCTGCCCCGCCCCGTGCACTGGAGCTGCTGGCTGTGCAGGCGGTTGCGCGGAGAACTCCCGCCAGGCTCCCGCACACTCTACCCTCGGTACCCTCCCCCCCGCACTTCCCAGGGGCCTCCCTCTATGGTCCCTCCGCCCGCACCTCCCACTCCTGCCTCTGAGTGACCCCCAGTTGGACCGGGGAGGGCGGCTGGGGTGTCACAGAGCCTCCCAGGAGCCGACCCTGAGGAGGGCAGGCGTCAGCGGCTCCCAGGTGGTCCCTGGGCCGCGCACAACATGACGGTCGGGAAGGCGGGGTTCACAGCCAGACATCTCCCCCCTGAACCTGTCCAAGGGCGGGACCTCGGCCGCCTCCTGCTCCTTCCCAAGTGCAGACCCCGGGGCTGCCCTCGTGGGCCCCCCCCCCATCCTGGCCCCACCGAGGCTCCTGGGCCTCCACACCGTTGTGGCCTCTCTGCTCCAACTGGTGACTATCGCTCAGAGCCAGGCGCGTGCCCTGTGCCGCTGGGGTGTGGCCCGCGAGCAGGGACAGACTGCCGTCCCTGGACCGTGGGGGAGTAGCTGAGACACCGGGCAGGGAGGTTGCCTAACAAGGGCTGGGCCAGGTGAGGAGGGCAGGTTGGGCCGACTGGTCTCGATCAGGCATCTCCATCGGACCAGCCCGCCCTCGTCCTGCTGCAGTCGCCAGCCCCGCCTGCCTCTCCTCTGTGCCCCCTGCGTCCTCCCCTGGGGGGCACCTGGGACCCAGCGTGCTGCTCAGTGGTCAGCGCTGCCTTCTCACAGCCCCTGGGCCAGGAACCCGCCACCTGGGCCCCGAGTGGCTCTGCAGCGGCTTCTCAGAGGGGTTTCATCAGAGCCGGGTGCGGCCCTCCCTGCTGGCCGGCGACCTCCTGCTCGGGATCATCCCGAACAGCCAGGAACTGGCCTGGGGCGACCGCCGCCCTCCCGGCAGCTGGAGGTTACGTAACGCAGCTGCGGGGAATGTCCTTCCTGCCCACGAGCCGCCCGCCCGCCACGGGAGCAGCTGCGCTGGAGAAAGTGTCTGGAGCCGCGCCCAAGGGAGGACGGAGCTGCCCTGACGGTGCTGGCCACAGGCCAACGCCCAGCCGCTCTGCCACTGGGGCTGCGGCACTGGCTTCCTGCCTCGCAGGGTGCTTGCCTCCGGGACCTTCCTCACAGCCACGGACCCAGGAGGCAGAGCCGGGTGGTCACCCTCCTCAGCAGGAGGGGCCGGGACTCCAGTCCTGGCTCCTGCCCCCTCCTGCCCCCTCCTGCCTCCGGGCGGTGTCCTTCCTGCTGACACTGTCGTCAGGGCTGCCATGGAAACGCACCCATGACCTGCGGGGATCACGGGTGGGGTTTGGGGCCGGCCAACAAATTCCAGGGGTGGGGTCCTTTTTTTTATTACCAGACTGTTTTACAGCAGTTTTAGGTTCACAGACAGACGAGCAGAAAGTGCGGCCTTCCCATGCCCCCTCCCCGCCGGTTCCGTTGTGACCTCTTGTGTCCCTGCGGCGTATTGGTTACAACAGATGAGGCCGCTAGATGCTCTGTGACTGGCTGAGGCCACAGTTCACCTTCGGGCTCACTCCGGGCTGTAACGACAGGGTCAGCATTGCCGCTGGGGAGGATGAAGGTCACGGAGGAGAGGAAGGTGGGGCCGGCCCACAAGGGATCCCCTCTCTCCTGCCGCCCGACACCCTCTGTGCCCTGCCTCGTTACACCCCCGCCCCCCACAAACCCCATCTTCTTCCCGGGTCCGGGTTCGGGGCTGTGGCTTTCGCTGAAATGCATGGCCGACGCTATGAAGGGCGGTGTTGAGCCCCTGCCCGCGCGCGTGTCCGTCCCGGTTTCTCACCCAGAGCAGCGGAGGCTGCTCTGTGCTGTGGTCTCGGAAGAGGGGGCTGAAGGGGACCCCTCCTCTGCCGCAGAGACAGCCGCGCTCACACCAGGCAGGTGGCCGGTCAGTGCGTCCTCGCGCCCCCTGTGGGAGCCAAGGAGGCCCAGCCTCTGTCCTGGCCCCGCCACCCTCCCCGCCCGCCCTCACCTCGGCACCTGCATTCCCTGGAAGCCCCCTGTCACCCGCTGGGTGAGGTGGGCAGTCGGTCGCCATCTGAGTTGAAAGGACAGCCTTGCCCGCTGGGTCTTCCCAGGGGCCCTCTCCCCACGGCAGGGAGCCCGCAGCCCATCCTCCCAGCACCTCTCCCCACGGCAGGGAGCCCGCAGCCCACCCTCCCAGCACCTCTCCCCACGGCAGGGAGCCCGCAGCCCACCCTCCCAGCACCTCTCCCCACAGCAGGGAGCCTGCAGCCCACCCTCCCAGCACCTCTCTCCAGGGCACCTTTCACCCTCAAGCTCTCTGTCCCAGAGTCTGGCTGTAGAGGAACAAGAGGTTCAGCACCCTGTGCACTGTTTACGCCGGAAACAGAGCTGCACCTGAGCCCCATCTCCAGTGACTCTCGCGGCCTCTTAGAACAGCCCCGCACAGAGCCTGGGAGAGGACACGCTTCCCAGAATGATGAGCCCTTCACACACAATCCAGCTCCCTCTCCCCCTCCCTCCCTCTCCCTCTGTATCTCCCCCTCCCTTCCTCTCTCTCTCTTTCACACACACACCCTCC